CCACTACGGGCCTTAACTAGAACTGTGCCTGTGGTCTTCCATTTCCTCACTATGTTCCTCACAGTGGAAACTGACAGCTGAAATCTCTGAGCTAGCTTTTTGTATCCTTCCCCTAAACCATGATGTTGAACAATCTTTGTTTTCAGGTCATTTGACAGTTGTTTTGAGGCTCCCATGTTGCCAGTCTTCAGAGAAGATGCAAAGGGGAGAACAACTTGCAACTGGCCACCTTAAATACCCTTTCTCAAGATTGGCTTCACCTGTGTATGTAGGTCAAGGGTCAGTGAGCTTACCAAACAAATTTTGTGTTCCAATAATTAGTGCCAAAGGTATTCAAATCAATAAAACAACAAGGGTGCCCAAATTTATGCACCTGCCTACTTTTGTTTACATAATTATTGCACACTTTCTGTAAATCCTATAAACTTTATTTCACTTCTTAAATATCACTGTGTTTGGTTGCTATATGATATATTTAATTGAAATTGCGGTTCCGAACAACCAGGGTGCCCAAACTTTTTAATACCACTATATATATTTTCTGAACTTTGAATGAAATACTCTGTGTTGTGCTTGTTTTACAGTATGTACATGGAAGTCTAGAAGACCCTAAAACACTCTCACACCACAAACTCATACAAACAGCCACAGAAAGAGTTCTCACTGACACCAAAACAGTTGCTGAGGAAAACCTTAAAGATAAAGGTAGGTACCTGGTATCTGTCTGTTTATCTATATGTACGTGTATATATATGTGTATACATTTATATGTATATATGTGTATATATTTGTGTATGTAATATATACACATATATGTACTGTGTATATATACTGTATGGGTATATATATTTGTCTATATAATATACAGTGGTCCCTGGTTTATCGCGGTAGATAGGTTCCAAGGCCTGCCGCGAGAACTGAATTTCCGCGAAGTAGTGACACCATATTTATGTGCAGTAAAATGCTGACGAGGAAGGTGATGATGACTTTTACTGCGCAGCCAATGATTGATTTTACGTCTCTTCAGAGGGTGGTGCCATTTCTTGGGGCACCTCTTCCACGGTTTCCGAAGGTGTATCCGTAGTAGTAGCAGGAACTGGCTCTTTTTTGCGAGGGTGCAAAAACATTGCGATCGGCAGTTGCTTCCACTGCTTCTTTTTCCAGTCGAAGACTAGCTCGTGGGCAGTCATGACGTTGTCGATTTTGTTGCAAACTTGGACCGATCGAACCATATCGTCGTCCCATTCTTGTGAGATCTCTTGCAGATCCAAATCCGGGATACAGTATATTTTATATATACAGTTTTCAAAACCCCGCGAAGTCGTCAATCTGCGAAAGATGAACCGGGAAATAGCGAGGGACTACTGTATACACATATCTATATTTGTGTATATATATACTGTATGGGTATATATATATTTGTGTATATAATATATACACATATGTATATATGTGTATGTATACTGTATGGGTATATATATTTGTGTATATAATGGCACATATGCACATCTACAGTATGTCACAAAAGTGAGTACACCCCTCACATTTCTGCAGAGATTTCATTATAATGTTTAATTGAACAACACTGAAGAAACATCGCTTTGACACAATGAAAAGTAGTCTGTGTAAAGCTTATATAGCAGTGTAAATTTATTTTTCCCCTCAAAAAAAACTCAAAATATAGCCATTAGTAGCTAAACCCCTGGCAACAAAAGTGAGTACACCCTAAAGTGAAAGTTCCTGAAGTGTCAATATTTTGTGTGGCCACCATGATTTTGCAGAACCGCCTTAATCCTCCTGGGCATGGATTTCACCAGA